TTCTTCTGATACAGCAAGGAGAGGACGAACGACGTCTGGCACGAGCAATGGGGAGAAAAACGCGCTCCCCCTGACGAGCACAACCGTAAGAGAAGAGGAGGAGCAGGAGCAGGAGGAGCAGGAGGAGGAGGAGGAGGAGGAGGAGACTGCCAGTGGTCAAGAGAACGTAGTGGAAGACAAGGAGAAGGGAGAATGTGAGGATGGAGAAAGTGGGAGGGAGAAGAGTTGAGGGAAGGAAAAAGTGAATGAGGAGGGGGGTGAAGGGTGCAGGGGAGGATGGTAGTGTGAGATTGCCGCAGCAAATGGAAGATTCTCAAGCTGCTGGGCTGAGAAGGAAGGAACCAACGGGTATGTAGCTCGTCTCTCCTCTTCTCTCCTCCTCCTCTTTCCCTCCTCCTTACAAGCCCCCTGCTATCACATCCGTTCAATCTTCCATCCCACTGCCCTTCCTCTCCCTCCCCCCTTCTACTCCCTCCCCGCTCCCCACTCCACTCCTCACTCCCATCATAAATGCAGACTTCCTTTGCTGCGTCTGCTCGTGATTTCTTTACTGACTCGCGGCAAGGTACGGCGAGCGATGGCACGACCAGTGGAGTGAAAACTACGAGGACAACGGCTCTGGGTGAGGGAGAGCACGGGAAGGAGAGGAGGGGAGGGGAGGGGAGGGGAGGGGAGAGAGCACGCCGGGATGACTGGAGGGCACGAGGGGAGAGGAAGAGAAGTGTGCAAGTAGACTGAACAGGAGCAAGGAATGATGTCATGATGGACAGGACAGGAGAGAGGTTGGAGGAGGGAGAGATATGAGAGATGAAGACAGCGGAATCTTGAACTTGTGACAGAACCGCAGGAACAAAGTTTGCAACAAGTGGAAAGTTTTCGGTGACGGGACGGAAAGGATCGAGAGGTCAGGGGAGGAGTGGGACGGTAAGCAAATTAATTAATTCGATTATCGTGAAACATGTGACTGTGTCAACTACAGGAAGAGGTTGGTTCCAGAAGGGAGGAGAGACTCTCCTCAACGGCGCCAAGGTAACGCTTAGGAGCCCTGGAGGAGGGGAGGAGGAAGCAAGGAGGGACTGGAAGACCTCTGAACCTCCATTGACAGGTTGACGGCTGGCACGAGCGTGCATGGTAGAAGAATCAGCAGCACATGCCCAACCAAAATATAAGGAGAAGGAGGAGAGGAGAAGGAATAGAGAAGGATTGGGCCTCATTATTAAATGTGAACGAAGCTGTCTGGATGATAAACCTGAAGAGAACTCGTCACCTTCTCCCTCTCTCCCTCCTTCCTTCCCTTCCCCTCACCTGCAAGCTTGCAACAAGAATGTAGATGACCCACAACAAGAAAAGGAAGCAGCTGGTAACCTGAGAGACGAGGTGAGGAGATCGAAAGTGGCAACAGACGAGGAAAGGAAGGAAAGGAAGGCCTTGAGGATAAGCGGTAGGCAGGCAGGACATCGTGAGGGAGGGGAGGGCAGACAAGCAGGGAGCAGAGGCGAAGGAGGGGCAGAGAGCTTACAATATTGTTGACAAGCGATCCGCCGATCTCAGCTCCGAAGGCAAACCTCTTGCCGAAGATGACAACGAACGAGGCGATGCTGAGGATGGCGAAGATAAGAACATTGAAGCCCAGGGACCCGGCCTCCACCACAAACGCTCCCGTCTTCTCATACTGTTGGAACCTGCTCCATTTCTGGTACTTCAACCTCCACTGGTCGTCCGGTCCAGTCACCGCCCACTTGACAGCAGCGCACAGCCAGGGGATGCCGAGACCGAGAAAGACGTTGACGCAGTTGCTTCCCGTCACGTTCCCCAGCGCGTTGTCGGCCGTGTCGTCCATCTTGATCGCGATCATGGAAGCGAAGGTGTCAGGCAACGAAGTGCCGAGGGCAACGATGGTGATGGCAGTGACAGGCTTCTCCAGCCCCACAAGGCAGCCGAAGATGGAAGCGAGGTCTCCTACCATGGCAGTGACGCAGCCAATCAGGCCGAGGGCAACGAAGAAGCAGTACCATCCTCCTCCGAGGTTAGGGGGGGGGATAAAGGCAGCCACAAACTGCCAGGGGCAAGTGAGGATGAAAATGCAGATTTCGTTGACGGACGCCTTGGACCAGTCTCCATCCTCGTTGACTTGGAAAGCCTGGGGTGCAAACAGTCAGCATGAGAGGAGAAAGTGTGCGAAAGTGATGAGTGGAAGACAACAAGGAGAAAGAAATGAGTATTTTGAGAGGAGCTTGGAAGGAGTACAATAATCAAAGAACTCACTCGCACAAACTGATCTTTCCATGAGATTGGCTCATCCTCAATGTCGCCTGCTGTCTCGTCCAAGGCCTGATTGCCATTCGGCTTGGGGGATCCGGGGGATCCATTCACCTCTGCCACTCCGTTGCCAGCTGCTACTTGGCCATCTCCATGTGCTTCGTTCTCAGCCCCTTGCGTTGAACGTTCATGAATCTTCTGCAGAGCCTTCCTGTTCTCGAAGGTGTTGTTGATGAAAGCTCTTCGGTACGTCAGGTAAGATGCCTTCTGATTCTTCGCCAGCGCAAGACGAACCACATCGATGAACCTGTTGGCTCCATCCTTGCCCACCAGGTGAGCGTGGATCGCAGCTTTCTTCCAGTGCTCGCTCGTCTTGTCGTTGTGCGCCAACGCCTGAAGGAACTTGTTGCTTCCTGGGCTCATTTCGAACTTCTTGCCTGCATTTAACGGGGCGTCGTTGCTGACCGTCACTACCTTGTCCTCGTCCATCCGAGTGACTTCATCAGATGCAGGTTGGGTTTCATCTCGCTTCTCCTCCTCGGGTGAGACTTTGCTCGCTGTGTGAGTGTCTGCGATGTACACGGCAATCAGAAGGACGACCATGATACCAAGCGTTGCCGCTGCTTCCCAGACTTCTACGACATCAGGTGAAGAAACAATCAGGATGATGAGCAACCAGATATCTGCGTGAGGATGTTACAAGCAAACCAACAGATCCATCCCGACAGCTTACATGCCAAAACAGAAAACACACTGGTGATGCAGAATCCAACAAACCCTGTGATCTTTCTCTTCACACCAGCACCAAGCACCATGCTGCACAGAGCAGTGATCACAAACAAGTTGTATGCTGCCGAGCCGATGATGGTGCCTGGCCCGAGGTCATCGGCATAGAAGTTGGCTCCAAAGGTCTCGATGATGGCAAGAAGCAGCTCAGGCGTCGAGCTTCCCAAGGCCATGAGCGTCAGGTTTGCCACTGCCGGGTTCCAGATGAGAGCATCTACTTCTTCGTAGATGAACTCTCCGTCGGCTCCTTTGACGGGCTTCCCGTCCTCGCCCTTCTTCTTCACCCTCTTCTTGTAAGTGCTGTTTGTGATGGTCTCGATGCCCGCCATGAACACGTCGCTGAGGATCGCGATGCCTACAAACGCCCACAGCAGGCCAACAATGTATAGAAAGGCACGGAAACCAGTGTTCCACGACCCTTCGCCGCTGAAGATGGGAAAGATCAACCCCTCTGTGCAATTGCTCGAGTTGGTGTCAGCGGCAAGAATGGGTTGAGGAAGCGCAAGGAAGGCGAGACACATCAGCATCATCAATCCCGTACTCGTTCCCAATCGATTCCTTGCCAGACAACATGCCCTTGCTGGATAATTGACAGATGCTGCGCCTGTAGAGCAAGAAGCCCCAATGTTCTGGGAAGGGTACATCTCCAATAGCTGATTGCAAGTATGCGAGGGCTCTGACGGGCCTCGACCAGTAGTGCTTAAACCTTTGACTCGACAAGGAGCTTCGCAGCTGTCCTTGCCCAAACAACACCGAGGAACGCTGAAATCATAGTTTACTCTATCCTCCTCCACGTATTCATGGTTAGATGGCTGATCAATCGATACATCGTAGTGCAAAGAGTTAGCTGAAGCATGTATCTCATCGGTGCCCTGAGAGTGATCAAAAACATCCTGGTTCTGCCCTGTCAAGCTTTGTTTCGCAGTTCTTCTCATGTTTGTCCCGGGCTCTTCTTTCAATGTATTTGTCGGGATCTTACTCTTGCTCTCTGCTCCACTACTTCTCTTCCTCCTGCACTCCGCTTCCTCCATGGTATCTCCCTTCACTTCGTCCCTGCACCTGCATGGCCCCAGTACCCCACATTGTGTCCACGACCCCAGCACCCCCCTCTCCCACAGTCTCAACCCTTGTTGACTTCTCCCACCCCCTACAATCCAGTGAACTTACATCCACACCCCTCCTTATTCCCCAGGTGCTCCATACTACCCCCGTCAAGATAAAAATTCCTTCTGCTGACTACCCCTATGTACCCCCTCAATTACCCTTCCTCGTATCTCGTACCCTACCCTTGTATTCCAAAGCATCCAACCACCCCTCCTTTCACCACATACCTTATTCGACCACCCCATGTTATGTTACCTCTGCGATTTTTCAACCCTACCCTACCGCAGGGCTCACCTAGTTGACTGGTAGAGCAACAGTCGACCAACTGCCAGGACGCAAGGGTGGGTAGGTGTATTATTGGGACAACATAGGTAGACAGGGGGTAGGGTACTGAAAAGCTAACAACAGGGTGGGGAAATCGAAGGTTCGATTTCCTTACAGGAGTAGGGTGGTCATACCCGAAAGTTAAACTGGCAGGGAGGGTGGTGACAGGACAGATGGAAACATGGGTGGAATATATGGGAATAGGGGGGTAGGGGTACACATTCTGAGGGATATGGCAGGACTGTGTTGTAAGTTTGCAGAGGGTAGGAAGCGACTCCTGGACAGGGGGGGTGCTCGCGTTGATGCTCGGAATTGATGATGGGGGTGGGGTGATTGGATGCATTGGAGTTGGAATAGGGGTACTTGCACGGAAATTTCATCTGCTTTGGTAGGGAGGGGTTATCATGACAACCCGCTCCATGAGTGGGTAGGGTACAACAGGCAATATCAGGGGTAGGTGATCACTACAATCATTTTACCATTATCAATGCGGAAGAGGACCTTTTTGACACTCCACCCCTGGTTAGATTTTGCTCAGAACCAGGGGTAGAGATAAGAGATTTTTCTAAAAACGATGGGGACCCAGGACAATTTTGTACACCGAAGGAAAATGAAAAAAGATATATCTGGAATTTGCTCGTAGGGGGTAGCAGGGGGTACTACCACCGATCCATCGTTTTGTTTAAACAAAGTGGGTAGGGGGTAGGGTCATGTGAGAACTCCAAAAAAAAAATTAGAGGTTTGCAAGGTGACTACCTCTCATACTCACAACCTACCCCACTATTGAAGTTGCCGTTGAGATTACACCCCACCCCCTATCTTGCATCAATCAGACTCTCTAAAGCACCCGTTCATCTGGCTGATTAGCAACTTTAACAGGTAGGGTTGGTCAATGGTACCCAACTAGTACCCGACCCCCGATTTTGACACACCGGTACTCACTGTCACCACCCCTACCCAAACTTTCGGTCTTGTCCCCAACTTTTTTGGCCTGACGGTGACTTCGAAGTACCCGGGTAGATCGACCGGAATGATCGTGGAATGGCAAGGGTAGGGTGGTCATCCATGAGCCCGGGCCGACTGCCTCCGGACAGATCAGTACTCGGAAGCCTACTTAGTCCTCCAGTGAAATTTTCCCCCATTGTGACGGTGCTCAAAGTTAAAAATCAGCCTTGAAGTTAAGTTCAATATCTGACACTCACTGAACTATAACTTTGCTGAGTAAAGAACTCACCGGGCGCTATCATGGGTCGGAGTCGCCGGGGGCCTGAGTGGGCCTGCGACCGTACTAACTAACGGCGGTTGAACCGTCGGGCAAGTTCGGAACTTGAACACTGACTCGGACCGCCGACCGTCCCGGACCGCTCGGATAATGAGTCAGGGCCCGGCCGTCAAGTTGATGGCCGCGGCGCGGCGGGCAGGCTGTGCCACTGGTCGGACTCGGATCGGCCCGCCGATCATCGGATCGGACTGGACTCGGCCGCCGGGCCCGCTCCCAGGCCCGAGGGGCCCGGGCCGCCGCCGAGCGGCCCCTTTCCGGCCCCGGGGGCCCGGCACCGTGACCGTGGCACCCGGTCGCGTCACGGACCGTACTGTACGGTCCGACTGACTCGGTCCGACCGGCGATCGGACATTGAGGCTGTCACGAGTCACTGAGGCTGCGGGCCGCCGCGAGCCGCCGCCCCCCCCCCGCCGCCGCCGGACGCCGATCGGACCGTACCCAGACCGTCGGACCCCGTATAGTACGGTGACCGTACGCCGGGGCGGCGGAGCGCAGTCCCTGGCACGGTCGTCCCAGTCCGGGATCATCCGAGGCATCCGATCGGCCGGCCGACCGCGCGCGGCGGCGGGCCGACCGTGGGCAGGCGCTCTCCCGGAGCGGCTCGAACTCCCCGGCTCACTGACTCTCACTGAGTCAGCCGGCAGTCTTCCGAGTCAACTTTGCTGACGGTTCGGAGCCCGCCGGGCCGCCAGTTTACTCAAAGTTAAGTTAAAAACTTCTCTTCTGCCCACCCCACCCCTGGAATTAAGTTCACTCTCAATCTACCCCACCCTAATTCTCACCATCACCCTGACCTAGAAGTCCCGTGTGTACTCTCATGATAATTCCTAGCTACTACCGGTACATCAGTACCCCTCACCCCTCTGACAACTAACCCCACCCTCCATGTACAAGGTAACACGATGGTAAAGATCCGAAAAAGATCCGTGTCTCTTGGAACACCCTACCCTACTATGAGTATATGGACCCTACAATCTCCTGAATTACCCGTTCTTGCATGGGTATATTTGTGGTGGACACTGGATGGGGTACCTACCCCCACCACCTCTATCCAACAAGAAATTTTGGGGGCGCTGGTTGGGCATAGCCTTGCGTATAGTACCCCTCTGGGACCTCTATTTTGATGGGGTGGTGAAAGGTATCGTGACCGGCTTTTAGGGCCACCAAAGGTCGCTACCAACTAAGGGCCGGACCACCCCTACCCTATTTTCATCAAACAACTACCCTGGAAAAACGATCAGGGACCCCACAACCCCCTCATTTGTTCACCCCCTCTCAGGCCCCACTTAGACGCACAGTCACCCCAAAATGTTCAGTCAAAGGTACCCGTACTTATACAAAATTCACCCACCCCTCCCTCAAATCTTCAGTTCACAATGGCTTTTCGAGGACCCCTACCCCCTAAATTGTCTCGACCCTTTCCGAACTTTGGATTCCCTGGCCATGCCTTTGTAGCCTCCATCTTCCTGCATTGTTTCGTCCTCCGCTCCTCTCCTCCCCTCTCCGCTCCTCTCCTCTCCTCTCCCCTCCTCTCCTCTGCTTCCTCCCCTCTCCTCACCTCTCCCTTCTTCTTATCCCCTCTCCTCACCTCACCTCTCCCTTCTTCTTATCCCCTCCCCTCCCCTCGCATCATAACCTGCTCTCTGCGCGCCCCCCAGCTTCCGGGTTTGTGGGCTTTCTGATTCGATCTTCTCTTTCGCTCGTTTTGTCCGTTGGCAAGCTCCTTCATTGCTTCTTCTTGTATCGGGTGTCGTGCTATCTACGGGTAGCACGGTGAAAGAGTCTGAGCAAGAGGAGTGGAAGGATGACGTGTACCGCCATGGACAGCTCTCCGCAGCTGCCGTCAGGTAACTAAAGCCCGCTCTCTACCCTTGCCCTCTCTTGAATCGCACCATGGCCTCATCTCCGATCTGCGTCCAGTGCTGCTTGTCTCTTCCATTCGTGTTATGTCGCAACCTGGTGCTTGACTAGTCTGACATCGCATGCAGGACCCTCTTCTATCCCCGCACACCGACGGGCCTCTGATTCTCTGGAAGAGAGCATCTCGACGCCGCAGAACAGCAAGGCGCCGGAAGTCCTGGACCTGCGCAACAAGTCGGCGTCATGCTCGGTCTTCGAGCTTGCAAACCGATACACGGTGAAGAAGGTGATCGGAAAGGGAGCTTTTGGTTGTGTCGTAGCAGGAGAGGACGAGTTCGGTAACCCGGTAGCTATCAAGAAGCTCAGTCATGCCGTCTCCGACAGCCGCTCGTCTCGACGGCTCCTCCGTGAGCTGAGATTTCTCCGCCACGTTCGGGGACACCCCAACGTCATCTCAGTGGAGGATGTGGTGGTGAAGCAGAGGGGCGGTGAGGTGGACGTGTACATCGTGACGGAGCTCATGGAGGCGGACCTGGAGCAGATCATCAAGTCCTCCCAGGCCCTCACGACCGAGCACGTCCGTTGCCTCATCTTTCAGATCATCAACGGGCTCCGGCACATCCACTCGGCCGGGATCGTCCACAGGGACCTGAAGCCTGCCAACATGATCGTGGACTCAGAGTGCCGGCTCAAGATCTGCGACCTCGGGCTCAGCCGGCACATCGCCGACCCGTCGGTCTCGCAGCACTACGACGCCAAGTTCACCGACTACGTGGTCACTCGGTGGTACCGCGCTCCTGAGCTGCTGCTGGGGAACAGGATCTACGACCACAAGGTGGACTTGTGGGCAGCTGGTTGTATCCTGGGGGAGCTGCTGGGGAGGAAGGCGCTGTTCAAGGGGTCAGACACTGGAGACATGCTGAGGAAGCAGGTGGGAGTGATAGGAAGCCCCTCGGAGGCGGACCTGGCGATGCTGACAGGAGACGAGGCCGCGAGGAACTACATGAGAAAGATGCCGGTGCGGCCCCGGGTGAACTCGTTCGAGCTCTTCCCGGGGGGAGACTTGGCGGCGCTGGAGCTGCTGGACTCGTTGCTGCAGTGGGACAGCAGGCGGAGGATCGGAGCCGACGAGGCACTAAGGAGCTCCTTCCTTCTCGAGCTGTTCGAACCCGCCAGCAGCCTTGCCACCAACCACTGCGAACTCGCAGCGATCTCGTGCGGGTCGTTGGGGAGCGAGCAAGTGACGAACTTGATCTTCCTGGAAGGAGCCCTGTGGAGGACGAGGAGCGGACATCGCTGTTCCCCTATCGACCTGGAGATGCGCAGCAACCCGCGGGTCCCTCACTTTTGCGCATGCTCGTGCGGGCAGAAGTTCAGGAGGGGATGCGACTTTCTGCAGCACTTAGAGGGCCTCGCATGATGGGGACGGTGAAGGAGGAGAAGGGGGGGAGGGAGGAAGGGAGGGAGGGAGGAGACTCTGAGAAGGAGTGAGACAGGAGAGCTTCAAGATAGGAGGGCAAGTGGCTCTGAGCAGGAGGGAGAACCTCCTGCGAGCCGATTGCTCCTCCTTCTGATTCTACTGATCGCCTCTGACTTCCTTGACTTGAGAACTGCTGCTACCAAGGCTACAGCCCGTATGAAGAAGGAACAAGTTCATTCTCTTATCCTTAGTCATTCTTTTAATGAAAGCAAAGACTTTCACCGCTCCTCTCCTGACTTGTCTGCTGTCTCCTCTCCTGACTTGTCTGCTGTCTCCTCTCCTGACTTGTCTGCTGTCTCCTCTCCTGACTTGTCTGCTGTCTCCTCTCCTGACTTGTCGACTGTCTCCTCTCCTGACTTGTCGGCTGTCTCCTCTCCTGACTTGTCGGCTGTCTCCTCTCCTGACTTGTCGGCTGTCTCCTCTCCTGACTTGTCTGCTGTCTCCTCTCCTGACTTGTCTGCTGTCTCCTCTCCTGAGTTCTTAGTGTTCTCTCGCTCTTTTGCCTTGTCGGTCGCTTTCAGGGCTGAAATCGCTCGGAGCTTCGATGAGATTGACCGCAGGGCGTCCTTGTATGACTTGTCGCCTCCTCGCCCTCTCAGCGGCTGCTGCCCCTGATCCCTTGCTTGCTTGCTGCTGTCCCACTGCCCAGCTCATTAGAAGGATAGAGGCAGGAGAGAGCAGAAGAGAGCAGGAGGATAGAGCAGGAGGATGGAGCAGGAGGATGGAGGCAGAAGAGAGGAGGAGGAGAGAGGAGGAGCACGCGATGAGGATGTGGACGAGGAGTGATTTGGACGGGGCATGCCAAGGACGGAGGAAGGGAAAGGAGGGGAAGGGGGAGGGAGGAGGGAGGGAGGAAGGAGGGGGAGGGAGGGAGGGGTATTCGATTCTGACCGATGGGGCTGATGTAGCGAGAAGACTCCAGCTGTTTGAAATCTCAGCTGAGACTTTCATCGACTTTCTCACCTCAACGTTCGCTGCGACTTTTCCTGTCCCGCTCCTCCCTCTCCATCTCCTACAGCACCGTCAGCTTCCTTTACCTCCTTCCTCTGCTTGTGCCTCTGCCTCTGCCTCTGCCTCTGCCTCTGCCCCCCCCCCCCCCCTCCCACCTTTATCCCTCGCCTCCCTGCTCCCTCCTTCTCGACTCTTTCTCTCTGCTCTTTGATTCCTTGTCCTGCTCCTTCTAATCGTCGTCACCTTGCGCTTCAGACGTCCGCATGGTCATCGGGCTCAGGCTATTCTGCATGGGGGAGCAAGAAGGACTGCAGACACAAGCCAAGAGAGGAAGCGGCAGGTGGAAGGGAGAAGAGGAGAGGGAGAAAGGTAAGCAACGGGAAGAATGAAAGAAGGAGAGTGAGGGCAGAGGGAGAAGGAGAAGTAGTAGTAGTAGTATGCTAGGTAGGTTTACATGGCTTGAGGGAATACCTTAATTTGAAGGAAGACGAAGTTGTTTCGAGGAGCAAACTTGACGTGTCGAGATCTCTCGGAGCCTCTGAGGTCAAGCAAGTGAGGAGGAGAAGCTTGTGGGTTGGGCCTTACGAGCAAGAGCGTCACTCTTGTCCTCCTCTCCCTTGAACAGATCCACACTCACACACGCGTCAAGCATCTCACTGCATTATTCATTAGCTTCCCTGCCCTCCCCCTCCTCCTCCTCCTCCTCCTCCTTTTTCCCCTCCTCCTCCTCCAGCTTTTCCCCCACCCTCCTACTCTACGCATCGTACTCCTCCTCCTCCTCCTCCTCTCCTCCTCCTCTCCTCCTCTCCTCCTCCTCCTCCTCGTTTTCCCCCTCCTCCAGCTTTCCCCTTCTCTCTCCTCTTCCCTCTGTTCTCACCTGCGTCGAGCAGTCAAAGGTGTCGAGCAAGCTTCGACAAGCTCGGTGACGGTGGAGTTGCACGCCTGCAGTGAAAATCGAGACAGGAGGTGTGAGAGCAGGGGGAGGAGGGGGAGGAGGAGGAGGAGAGAAGAAACCTGCGCAGTAAGGTAGAGGCAGACCCTGAATCCTGCAAGGTTGATACATCCGGACGAGCTGCAAGACAAAGATCAAACAGAATCATCTTTACAAATAAAACAATGAGACGAGGAGGAGGAGGAGGAGGAAGCAGGATAGAGGAGAGAGGAGGAGAGAAGAGGAGAGAAGAGGAGAGGAGAGGAGAGGAGCACGAGAAGAGATGTACTTGCTGGAAGGCAATCGTCGGAGCTTGCTTGCTATCATTCCTCTCGTTCAGCAGGAGCAACTTAAGTTCCTTCTGCTCACCTGAGGAGCTCGTCCTCGTCGCTTCCACTTGCGTCCTCGCACTCCTCGTTCTGGTGAGGGTCTGCTGGAGCGTCAGCTGACGGCAGAGAGCCGCAAACTTGACCGGAGGGCCGTGGGGGACGAGATGATCTCTTCCTGCCTCTTGGCCGTTGACCTTGAAGCTCAGACCTGAGAACGATGACCGACGCCAGCTCAGAATCAGCTGGACTCACCCTGACGGAAAATTTCCATGGCTCGATTCTTTCGGAGGCGAAAGGGCAAGAGGTCACCTGAGAAGGCATGAGGAAAGAGAGAAAGGGTGAGAGAGAAGTGGATGGGTTGAGGGTGAGGAAGAGACGGAGAGGGAGAGAGAGAAAGCGAAGTAGATATCAAGTTACCATGCGAGAGAATCTTGAGGAATCGATTCAAGCTCATCTGAGCATGCGTCACAAGGAGCAAGAAGATGTGTGGGAGGAGTCGAGGTAAGAGAAGGTGGAGGAGGAGGAGGAGGAGGAGGAGGAGAGGGGGGGGGGGAGGAGAGAGGAGGGAGCTAAAGTCACCTTATTGGAAGGGTCTCTTCCCCTGTCAAACTCGTTGAAGAGGAAGTTGATTTTCTGTGAGGGTGTCACAAGCGAAGCGACAGGGCGAGCAGGCGGTCACTTGCTCCACGTTCTCTCTCAACATCTTCGCGAGCTGCACCAGTGTGAGCGCACAAGACAAGAGAGAGGAGAAGGGGATAGGGGAGGGAGGAGGGGATAGAGCAGGGGGAGGGGATACAGGAAGAGAAGGGGGTAGAGGAGGGGGAGGGGGGAGGAGGGGATAGAGGGAAGTGGGAAGGGGAGGGGTAGGGGAGGGGGAAGGAAGTTGAGGGAGAGGGAGTAGAGGAAGATGGAGCAGAAAGAGAGAAGTAAGTGAGTAACCTGAATGTTCCCAAGGGAGGATTTTCTTCTTTTCAGGGCAAAGCTGATCGTTGGATGTCAGTAACAGGAGGAAGCAAGGAGAAGACTCGCCTTGCTGCTGCCCGATGCTCGTCCTCGTCCTCGTCCTCGTCCTCGTCCTCGTCCCCGCTCGCTCTACCTTGCTCCACTAACGTGCTCGTCACTCCTCCAACTGTAAGCAAGTAAGGAATGAAACTCCCCTCGCAACCTTCTCACTCGATGTGTGCGGCCGCTCTAGCCTGACTGAGGGTTTCCAGGTGACTCTCGACCCCCTCCTGGGGTTGGTCGTATGCGGCCGAGGCTCGTCCTCCTCTTTCGAGCTGCGATTGAGAGCAAGGTGGTGGAAAGGATGAGCAGCGGGAGCATCGCTGACGAGCGAGTGCGAGATTCTCCTCCTCCGCTCCAGCAAGCTGAAGTTCATCTCCTCTCGCAGGAACTGTCGGTGGCTCTCGAAGATTTTATCTCTCTCGCTCGTCTCGTCGAGGGTCCAGGCGCCAGCAGCAAGCTTGTCTTCCAGCACGCTCTCCTCCCTCACCAGCTTGTTCTCCATGCTCCTCTGCAGACTCGCTACCACCTTGCCGAAGTTCCCACCGCCCACGGACTTGGGGTGAGCGAGAGTCAGTCGCGGGTCCGCCTCAAAGTCCGATTCCTCGAGCTGCTTGAGGATTCTTTCCTTGCTCACGTTGTGGAACTTTGAGAGTCGGAGGTTGGCGGCAGCGCGCTCGGAGGCAGCGGCGAGTGTGCGATCTTTCTTCTGATCAGCCAGGTAAGACCTCACTGCACTCCACAGCACCGCGTCGCTCTTGGCCTTGAGCTTCGCTCCGTCGTTCTCCTCTTTGGTCTCCGACTTCCACACCTGGAGGCAATAGGAGCAGGGGCCGGCGGGGGAGGTGACAGAGATGAAGTACTTGCCGTACCCGAAGTTGGGGTCCTTGGAAGAGATCTCGATCTTGTCTGCTCCATCTCCCTGCGACCGCCAGTCGAAGTTGCGCTCGGAGGGTTCGGAGTGCGAGCGGGAGACGAACAGGTCAGGGTCACTCTCCTCATCCTGAGGCTGAACGAGGATGTGCAGCTGTGCCGAGAAGTTTCCGCGCGGCTTTGACAGCTGAACGAGGTAGACCTGTCGCGAGAACTGCGGGATGTGCGCGCGATCGACGACAGGAGTGTGGGAGATCTTGAGCTCCTTAAGCGTGCGCTGCTTGTTCTTGGACGGGTCGTTGGGCCCGACATCAGCGTACCGACAAGCCTCGTGAAGGTTCTCAAGGTAGGCGATCTTGGCTCCCCACACCTGTTGCCTCACACATCAAACACGCAGCTCCTGACCGAGACCTCCGACCTTGACCCGCTTGCAGTCCTCGACTGCAGTCCTGCCCTGAACAATGAGCGACTGATGCTGCCAACAGTGGTTGAGTCCACAAGCCTCACGAGCTAACGCACAAGCTACCTCGTTCTCCAGTGCCGCGGACTCAAACCAGGTTCCCCATTGGCAAGGATGAACCCCTTGAGACTTCTTTCGTCTCGTTTCTTCCGGGACCCCCCTCTCTGTTTCATCATCATCGGAGGGTTTGCCTGCTGACCGGATTCTCCTTAACAAACTCGGTTTTGCTTTCTTCTCCATTCACGACACAACCGAACGGTCAAATCCAATGAGCTTGCATGAGTCTACACCAGAGCCAAACCCAGTCATCGACTCAAAATAGATAATGAAGAGTAATGAAGAACTCGTACCAAGATCGCCTTAGATTCTACACATACAGCATGCCACACTCTATCATATGATCTTCACACATTATGATTTCCAAGTTGTGATGAAAAAACCTCACTTAGGATAAGTCTGTGGCCAACTTCGACTGCACGCATTTGTCTGTCTTGAATCCCTGTCCATTTGACAACATCAGTATCTCTCTTTCGAATCAAACCCGGTTCAAAGTCCATCATTGTCCTACTGATCTCTCTTCTCTTCTTTCTCCCAAGTCCACTTTTGTTCTCCCGATTAATATCTCACTTGTCCTGTCCTCTCGGCTCCCTCCTCGCTGCTGTCACTTTTCTACGAACATGATGTACGTTCATGTCAAGTTGGGACGTTGAGCCCCCCGCGTCCCCACTCAGACTAATCGTTTAGTCAACTGCATATTTACTCAACTGTTGCTATGGTGAGGCGGACCTGCAGGGTGTCCCTGCTGACATAAAATGGGGCAAAAGCTCGCGTACGGCCCACCCCTCTTAACCCCAGTAGAAGTACCCCACCCTATGTGCACATGTATCCTGAAAAAAGCAGTTTATGGACCCCTTGTAATGAGTCTCGTCTTACGGAGATATGATGTAGAGGGGGTAGGGTACTTGTTATAAGCCGCATTCTGTAGATAGTGTGGTACAAATGACAAGCTGGGGCCCCCATTTATAACTCATGGTAGTGAACCGAGTTCTAAAACGTAAGTCATTGGTACTGAATGTGTGCACTATCCGATACTTATGATACAAATATGAAAAAATTATTCAGACAGTACAACAGAAACTTTAATAATGTTTTTATGATTTTTTTGTAGTTTTTATTTGTACTTCTTTGAAAAAACATATAGCAGTCACCGACGCTTAGGTGACCGCACGGGAATGGCTTCATGGCTAACAGCAGCGGCAGTTAGCAACAAGCGAGGAGAGGGCGGCATGAGAGGGGGGGGGGGGGGTGAAGCGAAGTTGTAACAGGGGAGAAGGAAGATTGAGAGCAGAGGGTGGAGGGCGCAGAAGAAGGGAAACCATCGCAAGGAGCAGGGCATGGCTACTATCTTTTCTGAGTGCTTGCTAGGAGAAGAAGTTCTACCGGATCCATTTGGGTGTCTCACCTTCGTCGCCGTCCGCAAAGTCTTTGTCAACCGAGATGACTGATTCAACTCCGATCGACAGCAACCTGCAGTACCTGCGAACCCCGATAGTCCAGGCCATGGGTACCATGTCTGTTTGTTGCTTCTGTCAGGCTGACTGCACTAGATTGGGTCGGATTCATCGCTCTCAGTGGCACTGCGGCAACACTTGCTTACCGTTTGTTCACTTTCGTTCCTCCGAACTCGGATGTCCTCTACTTCTTCGGTTCGTCCTTGACTGGCAAAATGCAAGCCCTTATTGTTCAGACAGGTTACAGAGAGCATGGAATGATTTCTCTCTATGTCAATCTCTTTGCAGGGGTTGCATATGTAAGTGAAGAAGGATGTTATTTTGCTTTTGACTTGTTGCTCCTCCCAGTATGCCAAAGTCTGCTCGCATCTTTCGGGCGATGTCAATGGTGAATTCAACATTGTCGCGTACAAATACTTTGACTATCTCATCACCTGTCCTCTATTGGTCTGCGAGTTGCTTGTGCTGCACTATGTGATGTCTGAAGATGTCTGAACAGACCTTCGATCTATTGAGCACATTGAACCTTCCTTACAAGATCACGTATGCCATTTATGTGCTCGTCACCTTGTTCAGCGGCTTCATGGCTGCCAACTCGCCCAAGCCCGGAAGGTTCTTAGGAACGGAAAAGAGCTCGAATGACGTGAGTTTGCAGATACTTGTGGTTCGGCTTTGGCATGATCATCTTCTCATATACTTGGTTCAACATCATCTGCCTGGTGCAGGTGAGGCGAGCTCGCTAACGGGAGGACGAGCGAGTAAGGCTGCTGGCAGGTTCGATTCATCCAATACTTCAAGAAGAAAGTTTCGAACAACTCGAACACGAGCAAGAGAATGTCTATGGCCTCAAAAGCTGGTGTGCTGCTTGACCCGCATATCTCCTGCCTACCTCATGTTCTCCGCAGGATTTCGGAACAAGAACGTGAGGAATCCGCTGCAGACGGCTCTCTCCACCTACTTCTGCATCTGGATGGCCTATCCCATCTTGTGGATCCTCCTGGAGACCAACGCAATCTCTAGGGTGACCGAGCACTGTATTAACGTCGTCATGGACGTCCTTGCTAAATCCATATGTTCGAATTCTTGCACATGAAGTTGTTTGTGGTGACGAGCTTCCAGATGGGTTTGCTCTGCTCAGGTTTCAGCTGATCATGGACAAAGCACGGTTCGAGATGACGGAGCTTAAGGTCACTAAGGAAGATTTGCTCGAAGACTACAAGAATGAGAAGCAGCGAATGCGGGTGAGAATGTCATACACATTAAGGTATGCTCGCTAACTCTACGACAGGAGCTGCGTCGAAGAGCTCAGGCAGCACAGGACGGACAAGAGTCGTTCAGCGAAGACGAGGAGGAAGAGATGAGTAGACACAACAAGGAAGCTGATCGTCCTTCCAAGACAGAGGCCTCTTCAGCACCGACTCTCCCCATGTCTCAAATGCAACTTCAGGCGTTGATGCAGCAATTCTCTAACTTGCAAGCATCGTCGCCAGATCAGCAGCCGGTGACCCCAAACTTCCTCTCGGCACAGCCGTTCCCTCAAGCTCAGCCGTTCCCTCAAGCTCAGCCGTTCCCTCAAGCTCAGCCTGGCTTCCTTCAACAGGCTCAGAATCTGATGCCGAGACTTTCAGAATCGTCCGACAGTCCCAACAACTCGTCACCTCTTCAGAGGCCTCATCCTCTCCCTCCCGCTGCTCCTCCCGCAAACGGTTCCAGGTTGCCTGGACAAGACTGGCGCTCGTCCATCATGTTCACGCCTGAGTGATGCTGCAGACACACAACTCGTGAACAACATGAATTGAAACTTGATTAGCTCACTATAATTCTGTTGATGGCAGAAAGTTTGATTAATAATTCGGATTTTGAATAGATTGTGAATTCTATCATCCATCTTTCCTACACTAGTATGTAACAAGCTTCATCGAGTGTATCAAGCCGGAGGAGAGCGGTGTTTTGTCGGTTTAGATCAAGCAAGCTGCACACTCAACTGCTTCTGAATATATGATCCCATGAAATCCCCCAACGCGATCCTTCTTCCGCCTACGTATCAAGGAGGGCCCTGTGCAAACTGCAATAGCCCCGTCAGATAGCTCGAGTCATCGCTACAAGCCTAGCGTTCATACCTGATCGAACTCCAAGCGGTCCGACGGGTTCCATGATGGCTTAGGCCGAGCTGGGAAGCCCTCCGCAAACTGCAATCATCGCTTCCGTTCAGTACCCTACCTCTCTCCTTCCCCTCGCGATCCTCCTTGTCCTTCCCCTGCTGCCTCCCAAACCACATCGCCTTCCCCTCTTGACCTGCTCGAACTCCAGGTTGTCCGACGGGTTCCATGATGGCTTAGGCCGAGCTGGAAAGCCCTCCGCAAACTGCCAAAGTCCCATCAGACCAACTCACTCTAACATTCCTACATCGTAGCCTCCGAGCATGTCAATTCCTACTCCGCCTCCTCTCAAACTCCTGCGCTCCCCTTCCTCCACTTCTCCCTCAAGCTTCACTTCTCGTTTGCTTTGTCATTCGCATGTCTCTGTTGCTGATTCTCCGCACCTGCTCGAACTCCAAGCGGTCCGACGGGTTCCATGATGGCTTAGGCCGAGCTGGGAAGCCCTCCGCAAACTGCAATCATCGCTTCCGTTCAGTACCCTACCTCTCTCCTTCCCCTCGCGATCCTCCTTGTCCTTCCCCTGCTGCCTCCCAAACCACATCGCCTTCCTCTCTCCTGACCTGCTCGAACTCCAAGCGGTCCGACGGGTTCCATGATGGCTTAGGCCGAGCTGGGAAGCCCTCCGCAAACTGCCAAAGTCTCGTCACACAGAAGTTGAGCTCTGAGTCTTTCTCCTTCTCCCCCCTCCTCTCTCGAACTCTTCCCCCTACCACTTCTCGTTGTCTCTGCCTCTGCCTGTCTCTCTGTCTCCCTCTCCCTGTCCCTGTCCCTCTCCACCTCCCCCTTCCTCTCCCTCACTGTTCGTCTTCTATCCCTCTCTCTCTCATTCTCTGCTTGCCCCTACTCTCAGCTCATGATGTCCTACCTGCTCGAACTCCAGGTTGTCCGACGGGTTCCAGGATGGCTTAGGCCGAGCTGGGAAGCCCTCCGCAAACTGACACAAGGTCATTTTCACGTGCGGGACCTTTCTATTACGTATCCTGCCTGATCGAATTCCAGATAGTCACTTGGGTGTTTCTGCACTAGAAACGATCCAAGAGCATGTTGCTTCACTTGAACAGGAAGATGTCCCTGTGACGTGAAAGGAACAAAATACGCAATTGACAAGAGGCCCTAGATTGTATGGGTGAGCGCATGCTGGTTGAAGACGATGAACACACCGAAGTTTGGGGAGTCCAATAAGCAATAGCAGACACGATCAAAAACATGGTTGCCGCTGCTACTGCTGCCATCGGCACAATCGATCTTGCTCGACGGTTCTTTGACTTCGAAATTTCGGAGACCTGCACATTCGTGTCATTGACAAGACTTGAAGAGAAATTTCGGTATTGCATATCCCTCCTCTCGTTGATCTATTCATGATTCACGCATAGCTCTCCTCTCTTCTTCATGCTGTACCCCATGCCTCTTCTCTCCTCCTCTCTTCTTCATGCTGTACCCCATGCACTTCCCCTCCACTTGCTCACCTCAATGGCGCCATAATGGCCGACCGCTGCCATTGCCCGAAGAGTCAGCCGTTTTCCACTCCGTTACGGTTTCAGGCAGCACCAAGCCTCACAGCTAGCAGACAAATAAGGGAGCAATGCAGACATCGCCGTCCAATGCGATGGACACAGGGAAACTGAGTGGAGCTGTGCTTCGAGTCATTGGATGCTTGTTGTTCTCCTTCCCCTTGGTACATGCGTTCAAGACGTCCTCTTGTTCTTCCTGTTTCCTGCCTTTGCCTTCACCCATGCGATCGTTCCAGGCAGATCGTATACATGAGGCTAACTCATTCCCTTCAATCCGCCTGGGATCGTTTCCCTCGCTCAATATCATCAAGTCTAGAACAGCTGCGAGGTTCGATCAACATAAAGCCTATACTTTCCAGGCAGTGTCTACGATGGTCAGTGACAAGGTCGTCAACTCGCTGCTGTTTGCGCTGTCATTTGATTTTTGTTTGCTTGCAGGACGTGCCTGTCGTTCTCGTTGCTGGTGCAACGGGCAGAGTCGGGAGGAAGGTTGTCAATCTTCTGCTGTCAAGATCGAAGGATCCCGACGACAAGCTTCCCGAGTTGAAGGTCAAGGCTTTGGCTCGTGACACGGACAAAGCAGCTCGAGTGCTGCCTAGCGATGAGAACGTTGAAGTTATCAAGTGCGATCTTGGTGATGCGTCAGCTGTTGCCCGATGCTGCAAGGGCGTTGACGCAGTGATCTGGTGTGCCACTGGGTTCAGCGATTCTTCCGATTCCTCGTTGCTGAACAAGTTGCTCGGCGTAGCGAGGCTGAAGCTGACCCCAAGACAGTCGATTGATATTGCTGGCTTATCTCAGATCGGAAAGCTTCTGGAGGGTCAAGCTAGTCATCCAGATCTTCCAGGTCCGCGAGTGGTGATGTGCTCCTCAGCTGCTGTCACACGGCCAACATGGAATGAAGAGAAGAAAATGCGTAAGAGCGCGAGTGCTGAGCGATAATCTTTGATCAACCGCTTGCGACAGGATATGAGGGAGCAGCGGATATACCCATCGTACGGCTCAATCCGCTTGGAATTCTAGACGTGAAACGGTCAGTTTGATCTGCTTGTAGCAAGGAGTGACTGTTTGCAGGGATGGTGAGCAGGCCCTACGCAGCTCTGGGGTCAGTTACGCCATTGTTCGCCCTTGTGGATTGAATGACAACTGGCCGAGCGGGCGAGCAGTCTTCAGTCAAGGAGACATTGCCGTCGGAAGGATCAATCGAGAGGATGTGGCGCAGCTTCTAGTTCAGGTATTGCTTGAGAAGGATGCTCAAGGCAAGACCTTCGAGTGTGTGGCTCTGCCAGGTTACCCCTCTCCTAAGTCTTGCAGTCTTCAGCTTGCTCGTCTAAAACTTGACGGAGATGCGAGCATATCAAACATAGATGTGCTTGACGCTCAATATGCGTTGTTGCAGCAGCTTGTTCCAGGCGAAACCATGCAGCCGAATCAGCTTGCGATGGGACAAACTTACGAGCAGCTAGATTCAGGGCAGGTTGGACGGCTAGGAAAGAGAGGACAAGAGCGTCCGCCGCTTGCAAGGACTGACTGAAATCTCGAAATAAAGACAACGGATAAGACAACTGACGAGGAAAATTAATGATCTTCGGGAGTCCGGGTTTAGGGTCGTCGGGTTTAGGATTTTAAAGGTCGGGTTGAGAATGTAGGGTTTAGGGTACTTACAGGGTCGTCGCACGGATTAGCGTAGTACGGTCGAGTGAAAGTTAGGGTCGTCGGGCTTAGGGTCGAGTCGAGTCGGGTTTTGGGGACTCATGCCGTTCACAAACCCATATGCAGCCCCTAGCAAATCTGGTCTTTTTTTTTCTACTTTTTTGGGGGTTCACATGGGGTCCGTATATACACTCCCTGTTGACTACCCCCTGTTTTCATCGATTAAAGGGGGGGTAGAGAGACTGGACAAAAGCGGGGTGGGGTGATTTGAATTTCTCTGGCGTGGAACCCTTCCCCCGCCTCAGTGGTTTTAGAGGTACTGCAATTTATTGGTACAAAAGAGAGGTTTCCTGGTACAGAAGTTCCCCCCTCCACCACCCTACCCCCTTCGTATCGGTAGTATCTCCTCACAGAGGATATTTGAATCCACAGAGAAATCCCTCAATGCTCACTGTTATGAATACTCACTGTTATGCGCATCCTCTAGTCATTTATGTCGCATGACGTTTCTTCCTCAACAGCATCCCGTCACTGTGCGCTAGAGGAACGGGCTTCCTGCAGTCTCCTCTCCATCAGGAGATTCTGTTCCTGGAGCCGCCCCGGGTGTTCGGCCTCTGCATACTAGAGCGGACAAGTACGTGCAAGCTGGAAAACGCTATCAGGGATGCGACTAGGCTGGCACCAAGAGCTGAGGAGGCTAGTCGTCCTCTTCTACGCTGGCCATGGGATGAAGGCAGGAAGGGCCAAGAGGACTACACTGTGACTCTCAGTCTGTTTCCTTGTTGTCATCGATGCCTGCAGATACCGGGAGGGTCTGCAGGAGACGGGACGGCTGCTCCCGCAGCAGGCGGCGAAAGACGCCCTGCCTCGAAAAGAGACTGCTGCAGTCTTTCTATTTGCACAGCATGATGTTGTCAGGGCATGTGGGTACATTTCTACGAGAAATATGGCATTCAACTAGCCTGACTATTGAACATGTCGTGCATCGAGCACCGACATCAACTTCAGGGAAGAGACCGTACTCTGAGATGCATATCTGTGTGGGATATGCACTGTCCATGCGGTAGTCATGGACCTTCACGCAATCATCCGCGGCAGATGACAAGAAGAAATTCAACAATTCGGTTCGAGCACACTTCACTCAGTTGTTGTGGCAGCTCCTTCAAAGTAAATTAATGTCTGAGTAAAGTCGCGTTCAATCTGGATGCCTCCAAATCTCTGTGTGAAACGTGCACAATCGTACCATTCTTTCGCTAATTTCGTTTGAAGGTGACTGTCAGTGCGCCCTCGAAATATAACGAACCTGATCCACTGCTGCGCCTGTTGGTTCTAACATGTAGGGTTCATCCTTGAAAGGCACAGGAACTTGATTCTCTGTTCTGTAAGAGTGATGTACTGATGGTCCAACTGCACTGACCTTTTCATCCGGGGTTTCAAGAAGGGCTTCCCACGTTTGCGAAACCGTGGCAGTTAACCATACTACCGTAGTCCTAATGCCTTGTGCAGATCGATGTTGAGACGGAAGAAATTAGTTTGTTTTCTAGTGTTAAAGAAGTTGACATTCTTCCTTTCCAATTTCGGATGATTCCACTTCGAAATTTCACCATGACATGGTACCAGATTGAATGACATGTCTAAACCTTCAACGTGGTGTAGTAATTCAAAGTGCACAGAATGATCGAAGGCATTTGCTGCCGTTGAAGGAACAACGGTGCCTCTTTGATGTATCTCATGCGAATGACTCTGAGAGGATCACCTTGTTCTCTTGCTCCAATCTCCGAGGCTCCTCCTTTTGGCAATGCCGAGCGATGAGGCAGCCCTTGACGACGGTGGCCGCCCCGATTGCGCCGCTATTCAACGGTCCGTCAAGGCAAGGAGGATTGCAACTGGTACTGAAAGTAGTACCATAGGGTATGTGTCGGTACCGTACTGTAACTACCGTTAAAACAACTTGTAAAGAGGATTGTTGAAATAAACTAAAACTCTTGGGTACTATGAAGTGGGGTCTCTAACTCGTTTATCAAAAAAGCACGCCTACTAAAAAAAAAGACCCTACCGAAAAATTTAAGTGCCAAATTAACGAAAGGCCTGAAAGTGAACGGCATGGTCGGGTTTAAGGGAGTCGGGTTTAGGGGAGTCGGGTTTAGGGGAGTCGGGTTCCGAGAGTCGTAAGTTGAGTTCAAAAAGTTTCGTGATGTAACCCTGTTCAACGGTTTCTGGGAATCACTTCGGATCAACCAAGAATACGAATTTGCCTTAGAGACTACACTAGGATATGATTGGGGACAGTTTTAATGGACCCCCGCTTCGCTAGGAGGCTTTAGGGTTTAAGGGTTTAGGGTTTAAGGGTTTAGGGTTTAAGGGTTTAGGGTTTAGGGCGCCGTTATTTTCGGCTGCGCCGTTATTTTCGGCAGCATGGCTCCTTGCCAGGTGTAGGGGAAGCCGCCAGGGCGCCAAGGAAGCTGCAAGCGAGAGGTTTGTATACTTCAAATAGCTTTCTAAGTATGGTTCTTCAGTATGATGAAAATGTTCGCAACCTGCTGTATCGGAGATCATGCCAATACACGCAGAGCGGACTTGTGGATGCCTCTGTCCTCGAAGCTGATCTCGTCGAGAGGGTGAAGAGCTTCGCGAAGCGTTATCCGAACAGCAGGACAGCCCAGGCTTGCAAGGCTGTGGCCCGGGGATGCACCCCCGACGCTATCGCAGAAGCCATCCGCTCGACATGTCAGCAGGCACGACGTGAGCTTCTGCAAGAAGCGATGACTGGATGGAGTGACGCATCCAGAGAGTGGTTTATGCAGCAGATTGAAGAAGCCAAGAAGGAGAAGGTCGAGACATACACCGCCTCAGCAGGCAACGAGGTGACTTCCTTCATCTCCATGACTCTCCTGGGCATCTCCTCGGTGTATGTCAACCATGAAGAAAAGCTGAAGAAGAAATTTGAAGAGATCGGACTGATCGTAGACTCAGTGCAAGAGAGTAAAGCAATCATGTGGAAGGCTCCGTATAGACCCGAGATAGCGAGTGCTGAGGAGATCCCGGTGACTGTTTCCTTCCAAGCGGAGAAGCTCTGGCAGGGAAGAGAGGACTTCGCGATCGATGGTCGCAAGTTCACAGCTGTACATGTGAGCATCGTGCACGATCGATCTTTCAAGATTCGAGCCAAGAGAGCCTCCGACCCTGGGGCAAAGGGGGCAGCTTGGCAGAGCTGACTCACCTGCTAACCTTGGGCGGCATGACAACGGCTGAGATAGCTGCCGTCTATCGCTATCAGCTGCTGCGCCAGTCCCTTGCAGCGGTCCAACTCCAGCCGCTGGCAGGCATGCTGGTCGCTGGGGCGCCAGGACAGCAAGTCCACAAAGGCTTAGGTCAGAAAGGCTTCATCGCTGTAGGGGCCAACGTCATCTGGAGACAGAGGGAGGTGGAGTGGATCGTCTCCTCGAGCTGCCCAGAGGCGAATGATACAGCATTTCGAGCTTTCCGAGAGAGCGAAGCGATGGAGGGAGTACACCTGACTCTGTTCAGCGAGGACCCGAAGATCAGAGAGGCGCTCGCAGTCGAGTTGACAGCTGATCGCTTTGTGTCCAGAAATAAGTTGAAGAAGGCATCAAGGATGCAGAAGAAGGCAGGCGGCAAGGACGGCAAGGAGATCAAGATCATCATCAAGTCGACGGCGGCATCTGGTCGCTTCACGAGGAAGGAGATGGAGGGGCTGTGCAACGGCGGCAACACGTCTATCGCAAGAGTCAAGAGAGTCTTGTTGGAGATCGCTAACAGGCTCGAGATCAACGTTGAAGGCACCGACATGGAGGAGGATTTGAACACCAAGTCCTGGAACGGGTCCAAGCTATGCATCCTCCTCGGCTCCACGGAGGATGCTCGACGCATGATGAAGGAGCTGCCCTTCTATCTCGAAGGCGCAGCAACCAAGCTCGAAGCAGTCGGCTTCGACAAGGAGCCTGACTCTGAGGCGGCTGGTCAGCGGGGCACCAGCGACGCAGCGCAGCGACAGGAGGAGAGCGAGGGAGAGTGGCTGGAGTTTACAGACCTGGAGAGGATCACAATGGAGGCAGCATCTCCGTCAAGCCAAGAGGACATGCAGTTCGTCAGCGAGCTGTCAGCAGTCATCGAAGATGCAGCTTCTTTGAACGAGGCGGGGACGAGCGAGCCGATCAAGCTGGTCCTGGACAAGGCCGTTGGCAACCTCCACGACACCTTCTACTCTCCGGGGAGCCTGGAGTTCATGTCGCTGGGAGAGTGGGCGAAGATGCCAGAGGAGCAGGGAGTTGGGCGCAACGTTCTCAAGGAGAAGCTGGGGAAGTGGCTGCAGAGCAAGCGCTGGACTCGCGTGCAAGGAGAGCGACGGCATAGAGCGTCGATCTCTTAGCCTCCTGTTCATAGCACTGAGTAAATTCGCAGAGATGCATGTGCTGGCCTGCTCGCTGAAGGTGGACAAGAAGGACCGACTGCGAGTGGAGATGAGGGAAGATGACGAAGAAGAGGAAGACATGGAGGAAGAGCAAGGCGAGGGCGAGGAAGAAGACGGGGCGAGCCCGTACCGAGCTTGAGCTGAGCCCAAGGTAAGGAGAGAAGGTAGGAGGCGACCGAAGGCCAAGGTGAGGAGAGGCAACTCTCCTGACTAAGGCTGAGGAAGCTGAATGGAGGACGAGTAGGTGGCGACCGAAGGCCAAGGTGAGGAGAGGCAACTCTCCTGACTGAGGCTGAGGAAGCTGAATGGAGGTAGAGTAGGTGGTGACCGTTTAGGGTTTAGGGTTTAGGGTTTAGGGTTTAGGGTTTAGGGGTTTAGGAGAATGCACAATCAGGAGAGAAAACCTCCCAGAGAGGGAAGGAGCGGAGGGGGGAAAGGCAGGAGGAGCAAAGGGGCAATGATTGGGCGCAGATGCATCGAAAAAGTTCAGACCCAGGTTTCCTCATCTCACAAAATGTGAATGGTTGCAATCACTTTGTTCTCAAGCACATCCTCGCATACTTAATCCAGTCCTTCCAACCTGGGGTTGTGCTACTACAAGAGGTAAGGGTCTCGGCCCGCGACGAGAACAAATTAAGGAAGATGATCAAGGAGAACTGGGCCTGCTACAGAATCTTCCTGGGGCCTGCAAAGATCAATGCGAAGAAGGGGAAAGGAGACCTGAGGTTGGTAACGCTGGTACATGCGGCCCTGTCGCCGTCACCCTCCCCTGCCGCTCACCAGGCGTGCAACAAAGAAAAGAAATATCGAAACCGAGTGTTTTCGATCAAAGTCGGAACAGGGAAAAACTCTTTCTTAGTCACAAACCTCCATCAGGTACCTGCGGAAAATGCGATTCGAGAGCAAGGGGAACTGTGGGCAGAGCTGCTACACCTCGCTCTGGGAACGAGAGAGACACACATCATAGCCGGAGACTTTAATGCAGCAAGAACCAACACAACAACACCAATGCGGAGAGGATATTCCCCCTCATCTATCACCGCAAAAGCAGATGAGAGATTCGAGAAATTCCTGGCAGACCTTTCCGCACACCGTACACTCTCATATGAACAGATCAGCGAGACTGGGACAACATTTACCTTCTCAACATGGTACAAACAAGAACTGATAGAAGCCAAACTCGACGCAGTTCTCGCTATTCACCCCCCAAGTGACGAGGACAACTTTCCAAACATCTCCCTTCAATCGTGGACGGTCGACGGCTGTGTGATAGGGGGAGCAGTTGATCACAGAGCCCTGGTGGTGCAAGTACACACCAAGTTCACGTCCGAGGAGACGCAGCTAATCCCACGAGTAGAAGTGCATCAGATGAAGTCACGACAGAAGAAGGGGGAAACCCCTAAAAGCAGATGGGTGCTGGATCGCGATTCGTGGGAGGAGAAGAAGATCGAATGGGCGCAACAACTAGATGCAAACATACGAGACATGCGAGCTAAGGCGCAAGAATGTAACATTTGTGAGATGCTCGCCAACTCTCTACCACTAAAGGAGGTGAAAATCAGAAAGGGAGGGAGGCGACATTCGAACAAAGAACAAATGGATTTGAAGAGATCGATCCGCAACTTGCGGACTAAACTTAGGGAAGCATCACAGCAAAGCCCAGCGACTGGAGTACCTACGGAAGCTACATTACAAAGAGAATTGCGAACTAAGATCGAGAGGTTCAGAACGATATGTGAAGAACAAAACAACGAAGTTTTCCAAGAGATCTGCCAACAGCAGCAAACACGGCTAGGCACGGTAGGCAGCCGTGAATCCCAGAATGCAATGGGACGCAAGAATGATTTCATTCCCAAAGAACCGATGATAAGTCAAGACATCAAGAAAAAACACCCCAACTCCCTTCGTTGCCACAAAGGCTTGGCTCTTCGACTGCTCGGCAAGATAGTCGACAATGCCGACGAGCTCATCAACCAAATCGAAGCAACCCTATCTAGCGAAGACACGAGGGGCGTTAGAGCATTTTGGAGTGCAAACCAGCAACTGATGATTGGGATCGAGCGAGAGGGGACAGATGACTGGATCTTTCTATCACTGCTACCTGCAAACACAATCACGAAAGCAATTGTAGCACTAGAAGAATCGGATAAAACAACATGGGAGATAGCAGGATACCGTGATCTCACGGATCATCTCCCAATGCAGAAGGTTAGAGAGCTAGAGGACGCGGACCATACACGATTCTTCTTCAGCGTCAACGCATGCACGAAACAAGGGACCTGCTCAAAATGCTCAAACATCGGATGTATGCTCCCCTTGGCTGACTCAAGCGACGAGACCATCGGAGGGGGAGGGATTACCCCGTACTGCACAAAATGTAAGTCGTTCACAACCGTGGCCCCAAGACGGATCACACCGCCTGAGGGGGTGCAGCTTTCAAGGAGACAACAACAGGAAATCACCAGACCCCTGGCACCGGGAGAGATTGATGTCTGGCTCGCCTCGGCGCCGAGACGAAAGGCTGCAGGACTTGACCTCATTTCGAACGAAGTGCTGCGGGCGCTGCCACCAGCATGCCGAGAGGAAGTTGGCAAGTTAGTCAATGCAGCCCTAGAAGGCAAAGCTGAGGTTCTCAACAAGACAGCGAGAGTACGCCTCCTGCCAAAAAATCAATTCTGTCACATTCTCGAAAACATGCGGCCAATATGCGTCATGTCAACGCTTACTCGACTAGTTCAGGCAATCCTGGCGCATCGTCTGAGTAAGACAGTAGAAGCAAATAACGTCCTCACAAACTTCCAGGAGGGGTTCCGTCCAGGCAGAAGCACAAGTCGGCAGGCTCATCGACTGATCTCGATCGTAGAAGAAGCAGAAGAGGCCAAAACGTCCCTCATTCTCTTGTACCTGGACTTTGCGAACTTCTTTAACAATGTGGCGATCGAGGTGGTCGAGCAGGCAATGAACAGCCTAGGCTTCCATCCTGAAGACATTAGAACTGTGATAGCCTGCAACAGTGGAGTCGAACTGCAAATACAAACAAACGAGTTCAACACAGGGAAAATACCTCTAATAATCGGGCTGCCACAAGGTGGAGCAAGTAGCCCACAACTGGCCAACTTGGTGCTATGCATCCTCTCTAGGCAATTGGACAAGTGCAGCACAGGAACAACAAACAACCTGTCCTTCGCCGATGACATGGTACTCATCGCACACACGATGAAAGAAATGCGAGAGTTGGTAGCAGTGGTGGATTCCTTCTGCAAATGGTCAGGACTGCAAATCAACAATAAGAAATCAGAGATAACCAGCTTCGACTATGCTCGCAAGGGAGAGGTTCCTGGTGCGAACAAAATAACGGTCATGGGGGAACCTGTCGAAGCCCTACCGGCTACTAAACCGTTCAAATATCTCGGCTATCGCATCTCTCTGTGGAAGGAAGAAAGACGAAGAATAAAGGGCTGCCCTTTCACTTGGGGAGAACGAGCATACGTCTTTGAAAAAACCAAAGAACTGATCAACAATATCAGCTCGTCGAGTTATACTCCTGCGCAAAAATTTTACCTGGTGAAAGTTGGAATTCTCAACGTCTTTCGCTACTCCGCAGTCATGACTGGATGGACTTGGCGAGACCTACAAGAATTAGATCAACTGTGGATACGAGCTTTTAAAAAAGCGTTAGGCCTAAGCAAAAGTACAGGGAATGGTATATTCTACCTGCCAACAGAGAATGGAGGGCTGCAGGTCCCTCATCCTGCCCCAATCCTAGGGAGAGCAGCGTTACGATACATCGAACGAGAAGTGAATAGTAAGCATGGTGGAGACATCCAAGATAGACTGATATCTAAACTCAGAAACTCGTGCGTAAAATGGGGGTGTCAAACAATGCTTGAGCTCCAAAGAGAAATGAATTTTCGAACTATGGAGCGGGATGTGGTGCGGGGACCCGAAGCTTTAGCAGTCTGGCTGGCGGAAAAACTAAACACGAGGATCAGCTGGGCCCATATAGAAGCAGGTCACCTACCTGGAAGCATCTCCCTCCTTCATAGGATGGAGGATATGGTGGCAAACTTGAACGACTGTAACAGACCACAGGGCTGGACGAACTTCCAAGCCTTATGGAGGCAACTCCCGAAACTCCAATTCTCCTTGCTACGCAATGTACGACCTATCGCGGACGAAGAACTGCATTTGCCAAGGAAGCTCTGGCCTTTCCCAAGGCAACGCGAGGAGGCGGAGGGGATCGTAATGCAATTGCTACAAGAAAATGTCATCTGGGTAAGCAGCGTCAACAGAGCATCAGGAACAAAGAGGAAAAGACGAGAGGCTGTCACACAGGATAGTGCTACAACCCGAAAACGAAAGTCACACCCGCAATCAGAGGAGGACCGGGAGGAGACATCCAAAAAGCATCGGGAAGCAGCAGAAGAGAGAAGGCCACACCCAGCTCATGCAAACACAAGATCCCTCATGGCTAAATTACTAGGCAATCTGGATCAACAGGAACACCTTATCCTAAAAGGTAAGGAAAGTTTCAAAATCAAGGGCGACATAGCAATCATGGACCGGCCCAGAAGTCACACGGGCCAAGAACAAGACATCAAAGAAGCCGAACCTTCCCTTCGCTCGGCGCCATTTGCGAGGAAAGAAGATGAAGATGGCGCCAAGAACCCAGAGAAGACAGAGATCCTACTGCAAATTGCTAAGCATATCAGCAAAAAACACAACAGCTTACTCAACTCGCAAGCTTGGTGGGAACATCTAACCACCGCCATGGCTGAAATTCGAGATAGACAACAAGGCCTTCCGCTGTCGTACGAATTTCTAGAACACTTGGGGATGCTCGCTGAAACAAAACAGTTCAGCAACTGGCCCACCCTCTATCACCCGACAATCCAGGCCGCAACAGACAGCTTGCAGGACGACGAGGTTCGACGTGAAATAATATGGATCGACCAACAGGAGCAATACCTCAGCCACGCCGCATGCGAGTCCGGAACAATCATGATCGGATGGAACCAAACTTGCTTCAGGAAAGAAATCCCTGACGGCTTCATGCTAGTCGGTAAGGTACCTAAAGGATCAGAAATATGTTACGCTGCAAATTTCTGGAGGACGGGCGATCGGAGCCTCAGGAAGTCACAAGACGACCTGATTGTCTACTGCAAAGAGTCGGAACAAGAGAGAATAATTGTCCAACTCACAGTACACCTGATCCCTGAACGGGAGGAGCTACAAGAATACCGAAGGAAGCAAAACGAAAACTATCAAGCCTCGGCCAAACAGGAGAAGAACAGGAACCACGTGTGGTCCGCAATCCACGGCGACATATCACGAAACAGGAAGGGTCGATCAATGTCGATAGGATACAGCACGCAGGAAAAGGAAGGAGAGCAGGAACGCGGAGCGATCAAGATACACGGAAAATGTAGCGTCATCAGAGCACATACCATCGCACTCTGCATACTCCTACAAGCGATTTGGGAACAAAGAGGCAAACAGAAAACAATCAGGAAAATCTTCGTCCTCTTTAAATCAACCCGAATGCATCGCTTTCTTACGGACACCCTCAGATGGTCTACCATGCAGTATGAAGACGAGCTCGTATACGACTTGGCAGGAAGACTGCAGGAATGCCTGAGCAAATTTCAGCGGGAAGGCATTGAGATCAACCTCTCTCTGATCGCAGACCACACCGTAGTGCAAGAAGCTGCAGAGGAAGCTCGCAAGGGAAAATCCTCCTTCTCCTCCACGTGGGAAAGGGCCCTCATCGACAGCGACTTGGGATTCTGCATTGCAGACGAAGAGAACTTCAAGCCGGGGATGGATCGACTGAAAATATGGGATAAGATAATCAGAGAAGAACAACTGGAACTGAGGAGGAAAGAAGCCCCCCTTACCTTGACGGAAACCTTTCTCCTGGAACCACAAGTGGGCAGAAGGATCCTAGGTCGAGCCTTACAGAGGTGTCGAGGATCAGTACTTCGGACAGCCATCCAAGCTATTACCTGGTCAGCACCTACGAGGAAAAAGCTGTTCCAGTGGAAGAAGACGACATCCCCCTGTTGCCCATGGTGCGAAGGCAGGGAAGAAAGCTGGGTGCATATCCAGCTAGCCTGCAAAGAATTTGAGCTCATGATCGCTTTGGCACACAACAGAGTAATGGAGACAATCAAGGGATGCCTGACAGAAAGCTGGAAGAAGAAAAGTGTTGAACAGGAGAGTTGGTGGCAAACGCCAATCAACTCTATGACAGGGCTAGGACTGAGCTATAAAAAAGACGATCTGAGTAAT